ATGTGTTTCACCTGTGTCTGTGTCTGTATGTACCTGTGCCTGATGTGTTTCACCTGTGTCTGTGTCTGTATGTACCTGTGCCTGATGTGTCTCACCTGTGTCTGTGTCTGTATGTACCTGTGCCTGATGTGTCTCACCTGTGTCTGTGTCTGTATGTACCTGTGCCTGATGTGTCTCACCTGTGTCTGTGTCTGTATGTACCTGTGCCTGATGTGTCTCACCTGTGTCTGTGTCTGTATGTACCTGTGCCTGATGTGTCTCACCTGTGTCTGTGTCTGTATGTACCTGTGCCTGATGTGTTTCACCTGTGTCTGTGTCTGTATGTACCTGTGCCTGATGTGTTTCACCTGTGTCTGTGTCTGTATGTACCTGTGCCTGATGTGTTCACCTGTGTCTGTGTCTGTATGTACCTGTGCCTGATGTGTCTCACCTGTGTCTGTGTCTGTATGTACCTGTGCCTGATGTGTCTCACCTGTGTCTGTGTCTGTATGTACCTGTGCCTGATGTGTCTCACCTGTGTCTGTGTCTGTATGTACCTGTGCCTGATGTGTCTCACCTGTGTCTGTGTCTGTGTCTGTATGTACCTGTGCCTGATGTGTCTCACCTGTGTCTGTGTCTGTATGTACCTGTGCCTGATGTGTCTCACCTGTGTCTGTGTCTGTATGTACCTGTGCCTGATGTGTCTCACCTGTGTCTGTGTCTGTATGTACCTGTGCCTGATGTGTCTCACCTGTGTCTGTGTCTGTATGTACCTGTGCCTGATGTGTCTCACCTGTGTCTGTGTCTGTATGTACCTGTGCCTGATGTGTCTCACCTGTGTCTGTGTCTGTATGTACCTGTGCCTGATGTGTCTCACCTGTGTCTGTGTCTGTATGTACCTGTGCCTGATGTGTCTCACCTGTGTCTGTGTCTGTATGTACCTGTGCCTGATGTGTTTCACCTGTGTCTGTGTCTGTATGTACCTGTGCCTGATGTGTCTCACCTGTGTCTGTGTCTGTATGTACCTGTGCCTGATGTGTCTCACCTGTGTCTGTGTCTGTATGTACCTGTGCCTGATGTGTCTCACCTGTGTCTGTGTCTGTATGTACCTGTGCCTGATGTGTTTCACCTGTGTCTGTGTCTGTATGTACCTGTGCCTGATGTGTCTCACCTGTGTCTGTGTCTGTATGTACCTGTGCCTGATGTGTCTCACCTGTGTCTGTGTCTGTATGTACCTGTGCCTGATGTGTTTCACCTGTGTCTGTGTCTGTATGTACCTGTGCCTGATGTGTCTCACCTGTGTCTGTGTCTGTATGTACCTGTGCCTGATGTGTCTCACCTGTGTCTGTGTCTGTATGTACCTGTGCCTGATGTGTTTCACCTGTGTCTGTGTCTGTATGTACCTGTGCCTGATGTGTTTCACCTGTGTCTGTGTCTGTATGTACCTGTGCCTGATGTGTTTCACCTGTGTCTGTGTCTGGATGTACCTGTGCCTGATGTGTTTCACCTGTGTCTGTGTCTGTATGTACCTGTGCCTGATGTGTCTCACCTGTGTCTGTGTCTGTATGTACCTGTGCCTGATGTGTTTCACCTGTGTCTGTGTCTGTATGTACCTGTGCCTGATGTGTCTCACCTGTGTCTGTGTCTGTATGTACCTGTGCCTGATGTGTTTCACCTGTGTCTGTATGTACCTGTGCCTGATGTGTCTCACCTGTGTCTGTGTCTGTATGTACCTGTGCCTGATGTGTCTCACCTGTGTCTGTGTCTGTATGTACCTGTGCCTGATGTGTCTCACCTGTGTCTGTGTCTGTATGTACCTGTGCCTGATGTGTTTCACCTGTGTCTGTATGTACCTGTGCCTGATGTGTTTCACCTGTGTCTGTGTCTGTATGTACCTGTGCCTGATGTGTTTCACCTGTGTCTGTGTCTGTATGTACCTGTGCCTGATGTGTTTCACCTGTGTCTGTGTCTGTATGTACCTGTGCCTGATGTGTCTCACCTGTGTCTGTGTCTGTATGTACCTGTGCCTGATGTGTCTCACCTGTGTCTGTGTCTGTATGTACCTGTGCCTGATGTGTTTCACCTGTGTCTGTGTCTGTATGTACCTGTGCCTGATGTGTTTCACCTGTGTCTGTATGTACCTGTGCCTGATGTGTTTCACCTGTGTCTGTGTCTGTATGTACCTGTGCCTGATGTGTCTCACCTGTGTCTGTATGTACCTGTGCCTGATGTGTTTCACCTGTGTCTGTGTCTGTATGTACCTGTGCCTGATGTGTCTCACCTGTGTCTGTGTCTGTATGTACCTGTGCCTGATGTGTTTCACCTGTGTCTGTGTCTGTATGTACCTGTGCCTGATGTGTCTCACCTGTGTCTGTGTCTGTATGTACCTGTGCCTGATGTGTTTCACCTGTGTCTGTGTCTGTATGTACCTGTGCCTGATGTGTCTCACCTGTGTCTGTGTCTGTATGTACCTGTGCCTGATGTGTCTCACCTGTGTCTGTGTCTGTATGTACCTGTGCCTGATGTGTCTCACCTGTGTCTGTGTCTGTATGTACCTGTGCCTGATGTGTCTCACCTGTGTCTGTGTCTGTATGTACCTGTGCCTGATGTGTTTCACCTGTGTCTGTGTCTGTATGTACCTGTGCCTGATGTGTCTCACCTGTGTCTGTGTCTGTATGTACCTGTGCCTGATGTGTCTCACCTGTGTCTGTGTCTGTATGTACCTGTGCCTGATGTGTTTCACCTGTGTCTGTGTCTGTATGTACCTGTGCCTGATGTGTCTCACCTGTGTCTGTGTCTGTATGTACCTGTGCCTGATGTGTTTCACCTGTGTCTGTATGTACCTGTGCCTGATGTGTCTCACCTGTGTCTGTGTCTGTATGTACCTGTGCCTGATGTGTCTCACCTGTGTCTGTGTCTATATGTACCCTGTGCTTCTCTCCCCTTGTTGCTGCTGCATTGTCTTGTCTAGTTTTGTCCTGGTCACTTTGGATTTTTGGAGTTGTTCTTTGCCTTGGACTTTGTTTTATTAAAAGCTTTATTTTGGCATTCCTGCATTTTGGGTCCTCATTACTTTTCACCCTGTGACACAAAGATGTTGTGGCTCTACTCCCCACGGGCTCCGTTAGCGGCAAAGGAGATGGGCAAAGGCTAAAGCTAGGCTAAACGCTAAAACTAGGCTAAATGCTAAATGCCTCACTCACTCGGGCTCATTACAAACGTCACAGTAAACTCAGATCCAATGGTTTCAATCTGCAAAAGGAGTTAGCCCCTCCCACCTGTTCACGGAGTCAAGTACCAAATGAAGTGAGTACAATGGTGTGGTAAGACCAGGCTACAGAGAAGTAGTTTTAGATCCATAAACACTAATCTGAGGAACTTTGCTCACAAAAAATGTAGCTCCGCCCCTTCTCTCTCAAACTCAAACTCAAGATATTTTTTCACATTCTAAAATATGAGATGGGAAACTAAAAATAATCAGTAATATTTTTTCTCTCACCATCTTTCAGTTTTCAGTTTAGGCACAGTGGCAGCGGTTCGAGCTTGTGCCTCACAGCAAGAAGGTCCTGGGTTCCATTCCACCTTTCCACCTGCAGGACCTTTCTGAGTGAAGTTTGCATGTTCTCCCCATGTCTGTGTAGGGTTCCTCCGTGTGCTCTGGTTTCCCCTACCACTAAAAACATGTGGAATAGATCTGAATGAGTGAATGGATGGTGTTTGGTCGGAGGTTTTGATGGACCAGTGTGTTCTGGTCTCATTTCTGACATCACCGTGTGGAGAGAATGGAACAATATCTGAACACTCAACAACAACAATTGTAAAACCTGTTGGGTGACTTGTTCTGTAAAATGTGCTATATAAATAAACATTACTCACTTATTTTTGTTTGGGTCGTGCACGCTGTCACCTGTCCGTCCTTGGAAGCAGTCCCCTCTCTGTCCCTGAAGTATAAATGACTTCTCTTTTCTTTCTTGAACCCAAAACAAACCCAAAAGCACAGGACCACAGGTGACTCGACTCCGTTTTGTTTAGATTTCACTTTTGTGTTTATTTTTAACATTGAACTCTGTATAAAGAAAATCCCTTCAGTTCTCCTCCACCTGTGCTGTTTATCTGGGAACAAACGGAGGAAGGTTTTGGGCGTGACACAGTTTTACAAGAGGCTCAGACTTCACACATGTCTGTATCTGCCTCTAGTGCACAGGGACTGGCCTCCTGCTGGGACTCTGAGGAGCACAGGGACTGGACTCCTGCTGGGACTCTGAGGAGCACAGGGACTGGCCTCCTGCTGGGACTCTGAGGAGCACAGGGACTGGCCTCCTGCTGGGACTCTGAGGAGCACAGGGACTGGCCTCCTGCTGGGACTCTGAGGAGCACAGGGACTGGACTCCTGCTGGGACTCTGAGGAGCACAGGGACTGGCCTCCTGCTGGGACTCTGAGGAGCACAGGGACTGGCCTCCTGCTGGGACTCACGGGCGGCACGGTGGCTGAGTGGATAGCACTCTCGCCTCTCAGCAAGAAGGTCCTGGGTTCGAATCCCGGTCGGACCAGGGCCTTTCTGAGTGGAGTTTGCATGTTCTCCCCGTGTCTGCGTAGGTTTCCTCCGGGTACTCCGGTTTCCCCTACCACTAAAAATATGTCCAATAGTTCTGGCATGCGCCTCCTGTACTGGCCCCGCTCCCATCTCTGTGTGGAGTGAGAGACAAATGCCCAAAATTAACAATTGTAAACCGCTTTGAGACTCAGATCTGCAGTGAAAAGGCGGTATATAAATAAAAACTTACTAACTTACTTACTTACTCTGAGGAGCACAGGGACTGGCCTCCTGCTGAGACGATCACTCATGATGCTCAGGATGGACTGTGAAAAATTAAGAAAAGCAAAACACGGCTCCTTTAATAAACAGCACAAAATATCCTCATTTTTTTCATAACTGAAGCAGCCGTAATGATGATGTGTGTAGTAATTTATGTGTGTAGTATTTTATGTGTGTAGTCATTTTTGTGTGTCATGTTTGCACAGTTGGCTTGTGCTGGTGTGTGTCTGGCCATGTTTTGCAGTCGAGCCCATGAGCACACTCCGTCTCTGGCTTCTCAGAGCGGTCCAGGCCGTTTGGCAGCCGCACTGTGGGGAGCCTCCGGACCAGCATGCAACAGCAGCCATGACCCTCCCCCCAGGTCTGTGCGGGTTTGTGTGCGACACTTGTACTGACACCATCCCTGGCAAAGCACAAATCAAAAAGAATATGTTTTTCTATGTGGCTCAGAGACAAGATTTGCTTAAAGAAGAGAAAACATGGATTAGTTTAGGGCGTACAGACTCTATACTGTGTTATTATATGTTTTTGAATGTGTATTATTATCTCAAGTACATGAAATAACAAAGTAAATACGGGTAAGTTTGAATCCTAGTTAACCGGGTCTTTCTGAGTGGAGTTTGCATGTTCTCAGCGTGTCTGTGTAGGTTTCCTCCGAGTGCTCCGGCTTTCCTACCACTGAAAACCTGCCCAATAGGTCTGGTTTAGCTCCTTGTTTAGCGACCTCACTCCTATGTCTGTGTGGAGTCAGAGACACACTCCCAAAACTACTCGGCGCTATATGAATAAACCTGACCTACTACTCACCGGTGCAAAGACCGTAATTTTACCTGAAAACAAAGCAAAACCATTTTTACGGACAGCACTTTTGTTTTAAAGGCACAAAACGTGGTGTGATAGATTCATAATATAACAGAAGCTTTAAGGGAGAAGGGGCGGAGCTACAGGTTTGTGCCAGAAGTTCCTTTTATTCTTGTGTTTCATATGACGTCAGGACAGGACGTGACGTGCCCTGGTGGTGCAGTCTGCCGGGTTTATGCACGCAGATATAGTAGAAGAAGAAGCGGTTTATACACGGAGATATAGTAGAAGAAGAAGCACTGTCAAAATCCCAGAGAAAGACAAGAGTTTGTTCATGTTCCCACTGTGGTCTCATATAAAGGAGGACACTTTGAAAAAATCACTGGAATGAGGCGGGCAAGGTGGATCACAGTTGGCTTTCCAAGATAAGCGCCCCCTGCAGGCCACCCCAATGAAACACAGCCATTTCTTCTTTTTTTCTTTCCAAAAATGCCTGAAATCAAGACTCTTTTGAGAAATATCCCCGTGTGTCCGATTAAGAGCGTACACTGCACAGGAGGAGAGCCTTTTGACTCCAAAACAGACTTTACATGGTTTTCAATGGGAGAAAAAGTGTCCCATCTCTGCTCTTGCGCCCCTACTGGCCAGTTTCATGAAACCCAAGAAAAAGCGTGGATCTAAAAACAACTCCAAGTCGGTATTTGATAAAAAGACATGAAAAAGTGGACTTCTGCCCCAGATTATATATGATTTTATTTTCACAAAAGAGACTATATATTTACACTTGCTGCACACTTCCTGTCTTTTGTGATTGATTCTACCTCTGTGTTTCTCCATTGTCAGATCAATAAAGTTTATTTTATCGTATCTTAAGTAGACAGTCTGTGGGTTACTTCAGCAGAAACCTGACAAACAATGATTAGTGAAGAGCTTTTTCCACATTAAAGCCACAGCGTCATCTTTGGGTCTTATGAAAGGGTCATCAAGAACCCAGCAGGATCCATCGATTCCCACTGCACTTCAATAGAAAGGGTAATTGGAAAGACATTGGGCTGATTAAGATGGAGATGCTTTGACCACGTGCACGGAGAGGCAGGTGAGTGCACGTCCTGAGCTTTATCACAGCACTTTAAAGCTCTCTGTTATGTTTGGGAACCTTTTCTCCTGAGGTTTTGGGTCTTATTCTTACCTTACTTTCTGCCACACATCTGGAACGTAGCTCTGGGCCAAGAGACACTTTTGGACAAACCTTTAAAGGCGTTTTAGAGACGAAAGGCATGGTGTTGCAACCTGTCAGTAGACCTTCATCAAGAACTGGGCCCTACCCCCACCACTAGATCCAACGCATAATTCATACTTATTATATATTGTGTGGGAGGTTCTCAAATGTTGCAAAAATATTGAAAAGTCTTTATAAAAACATTAAAAAAGCAGTACTCCAGCCCCTCTACAGTTTGGGATCTATGATAATTGATTACATGTATTGTTTTGGTCCCTGCCTTAAACTAACGAGCATGTTCATTAAAGCTGTAGTTTTCTTTCTTCATAAATAATTCAGAAACAACTAAATAGTTTGAAAATGTGCTTTTTATTCCCATTTTCTGAGTCGGGAAGATGGAACTTTCAGGGGTCACATGGATGGATGTAAAAAGTGCTTTCACCTCAGCTACAAAAACCAACTACAGAACAATAGCACGGAGGAGCACACAACACAAGATACATGAACGATAAATACAATAAAATACAAACTCTAACTTTAGCATGATAAAGAAGCAAGAATGAAGTATAAAATCTCTGACTTTAGCGTGTCGTTAATGCCTCCTTTAGGTTAAACAGTCATTATCACAAACAGGAGAGAATTAGTCTAAAAACCCTGCAGTCCTTCTCTATAACAAGCTTTCACACAAACAACCTCAACACCACTAACTATTGAGACAACAGCAGCTTTCTTATAATGGAGAGTTCACTTCTGGGTTTTATTATTGTTGAGATTTGGAATAAGCAGCAATATTGAGATGTCATAAAAGTTTTCTGGCTTTTTAAAGTTAAGAAAAACCAAGAATCTGCAACGGTGCAAGTCCACTATAGATCCTGAATGCAAGTTTAAGGTTGTTTTTGCAGATGCTCTTGGTTCTGTTGAGTCCGACTCTGCCATAACCTCAGATTTTTAAGTTTTGGCTCTGACGCTAATTATCCCGTTAAAAAGCACAAAAAGGTTAAAGCAGGTAAAGTTTCCAAACTAAACCAAAGCCAAAGTCCGGACAGTCTTAGTAACTGTTTTCCAGGTGAGTTTGTGTTGCTATTTTTAAACAATAAGAAGTTCCTTTTTAATGATTACGCCAAATTACCAAAGTCAATATTTATTAATTTTTTAGGATAAAAGGAAGTCCCGCACAGTTTCATATCTAATCCTTTCAGATGATCTACTTTTTCTGAGTTTGTGCTGCTCCAACAAAAGCCCGGGGCTGTAAAGTCTGATAATTTCTCACTTCATGGGTTCAAAGCCATGGTAACTTAAAGCTGAGGTATGTAATTCCTCACGTCATGGGTTCAAAGCCATGGTAACTTAAAGCTGAGGTATGTAATTTCTCACTTCATGGGTTCAAAGCCGTGGTAACTTAAAGCTGAGGTATGTAATTTCCGCCCAAAACTTGTCCCGTTTTCTTCTCTTCTGTCTTTCTGGGACAAACAGAATCTATTTATGAAACAATAACAGTTGGTTCTATAGTATGATAATGTCATTCACTTTTTAGTTTGTTATCTGATTTTATATTTTTGTATTTAGGGATGTAACAAAACCAGTTTTTTCAAAACCGATACGAGTACTTTAATTTGAGTACTTTGATACCGAATATCGACACTTTTGGACCAAGAACCACTTTTGGACCAAGAACCACTTTTGGACCAAGACCCACTTTTGGACCAAGAGCCACTTTTGGACCAAGAACCACTTTTGGACCAAGAACCACTTTTGGACCAAGAACCACTTTTGGACCAAGAACCCCTTTTGGACCAAGACCCACTTTTGGACCAAGACCCACTTTTGGACCAAGAACCACTTTTGGACCAAGAACCACTTATGGACCAAGAACAACTTATATACCGAGAGCCACTTTTGGACCAAGAACCACTTTTGGACCAAGAACCACTTTTGGACCAAGAACCACTTTTGGACCAAGACCCACTTTTGGACCAAGAACCACTTTTGGACCAAGAACCACTTTTGGACCAAGACCCACTTTTGGACCAAGAACCACTTTTGGACCAAGAACCACTTTTGGACCAAGACCCACTTTTAGACCAAGAACCACTTTTGGACCAAGAACCACTTTTGGACCAAGAGCCACTTTTGGACCAAGACCCACTTTTGGACCAAGACCCACTTTTGGACCAAGAACCACTTTTGGACCAAGAGCCACTTTTGGACCAAGAACCACTTTTGGACCAAGAACCACTTTTGGACCAAGAACCACTTTTGGACCAAGACCCACTTTTGGACCAAGAACCACTTTTGGACCAAGAACCACTTTTGGACCAAGAACCCCTTTTGGACCAAGACCCACTTTTGGACCAAGACCCACTTTTGGACCAAGAACCACTTTTGGACCAAGAACCACTTATGGACCAAGAACAACTTATATACCGAGAGCCACTTTTGGACCAAGAACCACTTTTGGACCAAGAACCACTTTTGGACCAAGAACCACTTTTGGACCAAGACCCACTTTTGGACCAAGAACCACTTTTGGACCAAGAACCACTTTTGGACCAAGACCCACTTTTGGACCAAGAACCACTTTTGGACCAAGAACCACTTTTGGACCAAGACCCACTTTTGGACCAAGAACCACTTTTGGACCAAGAACCACTTTTGGACCAAGACCCACTTTTAGACCAAGAACCACTTTTGGACCAAGAACCACTTTTGGACCAAGAGCCACTTTTGGACCAAGACCCACTTTTGGACCAAGACCCACTTTTGGACCAAGAACCACTTTTGGACCAAGAACCACTTTTGTACCAAAAACCACTTTTGGACCAAGAGCCACTTTTGGACCAAGACCCACTTTTGGACCAAGACCCACTTTTGGACCAAGAACCACTTTTGGACCAAGAGCCACTTTTGGACCAAGAACCACTTTTGGACCAAGACCCACTTTTGGACCAAGACCCACTTTTGGACCAAGAACCACTTTTGGACCAAGAACCACTTTTGGACCAAGACCCACTTTTGGACCAAGAACCACTTTTGGACCAAGAACCACTTTTGGACCAAGAACCCCTTTTGGACCAAGACCCACTTTTGGACCAAGACCCACTTTTGGACCAAGAACCACTTTTGGACCAAGAACAACTTATATAGCGAGAGCCACTTTTGGACCAAGAACCACTTTTGGACCAAGAACCACTTTTGGACCAAGAACCACTTTTGGACCAAGACCCACTTTTGGACCAAGAACCACTTTTGGACCAAGACCCACTTTTGGACCAAGAACCACTTTTGGACCAAGAACCACTTTTGGACCAAGACCGACTTTTAGACCAAGAACCACTTTTGGACCAAGAACCACTTTTGGACCAAGAGCCACTTTTGGACCAAGAACAACTTATATAGCGAGAGCCACTTTTGGACCAAGAACCACTTTTGGACCAAGAACCACTTTTGGACCAAGAACCACTTTTGGACCAAGACCCACTTTTGGACCAAGAACCACTTTTGGACCAAGAACCACTTTTGGACCAAGAACCACTTTTGGACCAAGACCCACTTTTGGACCAAGAACCACTTTTGGACCAAGAACCACTTTTGGACCAAGACCCACTTTCAGACCAAGAACCACTTTTGGACCAAGAACCACTTTTGGACCAAGAGCCACTTTTGGACCAAGACCCACTTTTGGACCAAGACCCACTTTTGGACCAAGAACCACTTTTGGACCAAGAACCACTTTTGGACCAAGACCCGCTTTTGGACCAAGAACCACTTTTGGACCAAGAACCACTTTTGGACCAAGACCCACTTTTAGACCAAGAACCACTTTTGGACCAAGAACCACTTTTGGACCAAGAGCCACTTTTGGACCAAGACCCACTTTTGGACCAAGACCCACTTTTGGACCAAGAACCACTTTTGGACCAAGAGCCACTTTTGGACCAAGAACCACTTTTGGACCAAGACCCACTTTTGGACCAAGACCCACTTTTGGACCAAGAACCACTTTTGGACCAAGACCCACTTTTGGACCAAGAACCACTTTTGGACCAAGAACCACTTTTGGACCAAGACCCACTTTTGGACCAAGACCCACTTTTGGACCAAGAACCACTTTTGGACCAAGACCCACTTTTGGACCAAGAACCACTTTTGGACCAAGAACCACTTTTGGACCAAGAACAACTTATATAGCGAGAGCCACTTTTGGACCAATAACCACTTTTGGACCAAGAACCACTTTTGGACCAAGAACCACTTTTGGACCAAGACCCACTTTTGGACCAAGAACCACTTTTGGACCAAGAACCACTTTTGGACCAAGAACCACTTTTGGACCGAGACCCACTTTTGGACCAAGAACCACTTTTGGACCAAGACCCACTTTTAGACCAAGAACCACTTTTGGACCAAGAACCACTTTTGGACCAAGAGCCACTTTTGGACCAAGACCCACTTTTGGACCAAGACCCACTTTTGGACCAAGAACCACTTTTGGACCAAGACCCACTTTTGGACCAAGAACCACTTTTGGACCAAGAACCACTTTTGGACCAAGACCCACTTTTGGACCAAGAACCACTTTTGGACCATCCTGTAAACCTTTCTGAGCCAGGACCCGCCCACACTGAGTTATACGAGTTTGTTTTGGATCCACCTCATGACAGTTTTACACAAAGTACAGTCCGGTTTACTCTTGTCTCTCTCGTTTACCAAAAAAACTCCCATTGGTCCGAGGTCCCGTCCGCTTTCTGCTAGCTTAGCTGCCATCTTTGGGAGATCAACATGACAGACCAGATATAGTCAGACAAGACACAGACAGACATAAACATAGACAAATATGTTTTCGACCAAGTTTTGAACATGGTCGGGGAAAAGGTCCGCCTCACAACCTTCAAGAAGACTGTTCCATATCCCAGCTGCAGAGATCGGATATCCTGCCTCTCCATGTTGGGCAAATAAAAGGTAAATCTCATCTTTAAATTGGACCTAGAGTCTGTGATAAAGTTGAATTGAAATTGAATTGACTTGATTATCTTATTTAAACTAAAGCTAGTGTGTAGATAATGAGGGTCTAGAGATAAATGACACACACATTAACCAAATTATCACCTGGACAGTTCTGCTGTGAGCCCAGAAAGTTCCGTATTCTCCCTGCTCCTGATCCTTGCATCCACAGTCTTACATGTCCGGCCTCTCTCCACATCCCCTGCAGCTCGTAGCTCACTTCACAATCCCGAACCAACCTGGGCCATTGTTCAGTGAAGTCTGCTCCTGCCATGAGTCTTTTCAAACCAGGGAATTGAACTTTGTATTGTCCACACTGCAAAAATGTGGAGACAAATAAGAAAAGAATCGCTACTATTTGGCAAAATATATTGTATTTTGTATTTGCCTTAAAACCAGATTTACCAATTTCACAGGCAAAGTTATACTACTTTAAATCTGTGTTTTTAAACTATTATCAAGTCATTTGGGGCTAGTATTATTTTATTATTTTCAAAAAACAGATCATTGTTATTATTTTAAGCAGTATTTTATGTATTTTCATTTCTTTCCCAGTTTTGTTCGGTACAGCAGATCCGTGGCTCTGTGTTGGTTCTGGATGTGGGTCGACACTTTGCCGCCTGCGCTCTCTGATATTGCACGTCTCCCTCTGAGTCGCCGCTCACAGACGCTGCGTTTTTTAATTGCGACAGCGCCGTAACCGGAGAAAACATAAATGGAACAAACTCAGAGAGCGCCGTGTTGCAGGTGCCGCTGTAATGATACACAATTGTGAACCCAACGACGAAAACTTTGAGAAAACTAATTAAAATAGTAATGTTTACAGACTCTGGTGAAGGAGAGGGAAAGACACAGGAGCTTTCATCCCATCATTAAATATTCACGATTGCTTTTTTTATGCCTCGATTTCATCCCCTTCCATGTCCGAGCAGCGATAATAAAAGTAATCATGCTTTCCATCTGTCTTTTCTCCGAGTTCCCGGTGAGAAAAAGCAAATATATCACTTGTATTTGTCAGGCAGTGTTGTGGGAATGGTCTGTGCTAAATGCGAGGACGGCCAGTTTGGAGCGAGAGAGAAGGCGAGAAATTATAATTTTCATGTCTGCTTTTGGTCGATGGTGTTTTCAGAAGTGCAAAAGGGGACAGTGGAATATTTAGGAGATGGGATGTGTTTGTTTTTAGCGGTGCTTAAAAATCAGGCCAGATGCAAAATGTGTGACAGAGAGCTCCGGGTCTGCTGCTCTGAGGACTGTGGTAATGTGGTCCTGTTGTGATGAGGACTGTAGTAATGTGGTCCTGTTGTGATGAGGACTGTGGTAATGTGGTCCTGTTGTGATGAAGACTGTGGTAATGTGGTCCTGTTGTGATGAGGACTGTGGTAATGTGGTCCTGTTGTGATGAGGACTGTAGTAATGTGGTCCTGTTGTGATGAGGACTGTGGTAATGTGGTCCTGTTGTGATGATGACTGTGGTAATGTGGTCCTATTGTGATGAGGACTGTGGTAATGTGGTCCTGTTGTGATGAAGACTGTAGTAATGTGGCCCTGTTGTGATGAGGACTGTGGTAATGTGGTTCTGTTGTGATGATGACTGTGGTAATGTGGTCCTGTTGTGGTAATGTGGTCCTGTTGTGATGAGGACTGTGGTAATGTGATCCTGTTGTGGTAATGTGGTCCTGTTGTGATGAAGACTGTGGTAATGTGGTCCTGTTGTGATGAGGACTGTGGTTATGTGGTCCTGTTGTGATGAGGACTGTGGTAATGTGGTCCTGTTGTGATGAGGACTGTGGTAATGTGGTCCTGTTGTGATGAGGACTGTGGTAATGTGGTCCCGTTGTGATGATGACTGTGGTAATGTGGTCCTGTTGTGACGAGGGCTGTGGTAATGTGGTCCTGTTGTGATGAGGACTGTGGTAATGTGGTCCTGTTGTGATGAGGACTGTGGTAATGTGGTCCCGTTGTGATGATGACTGTGGTAATGTGGTCCTGTTGTGATGAGGACTGTGGTAATGTGGCCCTGTTGTGATGAGGACTGTGGTAATTTGGTCCTGTTGTGATGAGGACCGTGGTAATGTGGTCCTGTTGTGATGAGGACTGTGGTAATGTGGTCCTGTTGTGATGAGGACTGTGGTAATGTGGTCCTGTTGTGATGAAGACTGTGGTAATGTGGTTCTGTTGTGATGATGACTGTGGTAATGTGGTCCTGTTGTGGTAATGTGGTCCTGTTGTGATGAGGACTGTGGTAATGTGGTCCTGTTGTGGTAATGTGGTCCTGTTGTGATGAAGACTGTGGTAATGTGGTCCTGTTGTGATGAGGACTGTGGTAATGTGGTCCTGTTGTGATGAGGACTGTGGTAATGTGGTCCTGTTGTGACGAGGGCTGTGGTAATGTGGTCCCGTTGTGATGAGGACTGTGGTAATGTGGTCCTGTTGTGATGAGGACTGTGGTAATGTGGTCCTGTTGTGATGAGGACTGTGGTAATGTGGTCCTGTTGTGGTAATGTGGTCCTGTTGTGATGAAGACTGTGGTAATGTGGTCCTGTTGTGATGAGGACTGTGGTAATGTGGTCCTGTTGTGATGAGGACTGTGGTAATGTGGTCCTGTTGTGATGAGGACTGTGGTAATGTGGCCCTGTTGTGATGAGGACTGTGGTAATGTGGCCCTGTTGTGATGAGGACTGTGGTAATGTGGTCCCGTTGTGATGAGGACTGTAGTAATGTGGTCCTGTTGTGATGAGGACTGTGGTAATGTGGTCCTGTTGTGGTAATGTGGTCCTGTTGTGATGAAGACTGTGGTAATGTGGTCCAGTTGTGATGAGGACTGTGGTAATGTGGTCCTGTTGTGATGAGGACTGTGGTAATGTGGTCCTGTTGTGATGAGGACTGTGTTAATGTGGTCCTGTTGTGATGAGGACTGTGGTAATGTGGCCCTGTTGTGATGAGGACTGTGGTAATGTGGTCCTGTTGTGATGAGGACTGTGGTAATGTGCTCCTGTTGTAAACAAAGATGTCTCAGAACAACACCGTGAGCGAGGATCGTTCACACGGAGCTGTAAGTGGATTCATGATTTATTTGTTTGTTGCTAGAGCTGGGGAACCATGTTTTTGTTTAAATCAGCCATTCCCAAACTCAGTAACACCGAGGCCCCCTTAAAAATCTGAAGGGTCTGCGTGGCCCCCCAAAATAATAACCAAGAAGACAACATTAAGAATAGGCTCTTCTGGTTATTTTATTTTGGGGAAATAGCCTCTGCTACAAACATTGTAATACAAAAATGATTACAGTGGATTATTCAAGTCAAATAATGAACACAAATATTTTAATATTACAAACAAAACATTATAAATTTAACATTAAATAATTATATATATTTTTTTTATGACCTCCCGCGGCCCCCCTGCAGTACCCTCGCGGCCCAACAGGGGGCCGCGGACCCCACTTTGGGAGACACTGGTTTAAATAATGAGTCATACTTATCAAGGGTTTGGACAAAAGAGAAAAGTACCTTTTATGTCATTCCTGTTTTAGTCCTACTTTAGTTCTGGTTCAGTCCTGCTTTAGACCTGCTTTAGTCCTGGTTCAGTCCTGCTTCAGACCTGCTTTAGACCTGCTTCAGTCCTGGTTCAGTCCTGCTTTAGACCTGCTTTAGACCTGCTTCAGTCCTGGTTCAGTCCTGCTTTAGACCTGCTTTAGTCCTGGTTCAGTCCTGCTTTAGACCTGCTTTAGACCTGCTTCAGTCCTGGTTCAGTCCTGCTTTAGACCTGCTTTAGACCCTTTTGTCCTGGTTCAGTCCTAGACCTGCTTCAGTTCTGGTTCAGTCCTGCTTTAGACCTGCTTTAGACCTGCTTTTGTCCTGGTTCAGTCCTAGACCTGCCTCAGTCCTGGTTCAGTCCTGACACGATGTCGCATGACCTTGTGGAAAGGATCATTTCCCATTGAAATGAAGGAGAGAGTCTGTGTGAGTTTGAAGATGCAGTCCCAGTTTTACATGTTTTAAACAGGTCTTATTTCGTCCAAAAAGACCTTCTGCTGCAACACGTCGGATCGATATGTGACATCACTCTGCTGCAGCATTGGTTACATTATTATTAGAAATGACCTTTTCTCTTTCCGTATTTCTGTCCGTAGGAAAGAACACAAAAGCAGTCGTTAATCAATCCCAAACATGTCTTCGGTCCCTGGTTCCTCGGAGAACCCTCTGCCCTTCGCTGTGCTCCATGGAACTTTCCAAACTCTGTCTTTCTGCACAAAAAGTCAATGTATATTTAATCATATTTTGGCAAAAAGCAGGACTCCTTTGAACTGGTTTTGCACACAGGGCAGAGATGGATTATCCTTCCAGGGGATATTAAGCGGGGCCATTATACACTGCGAAATAATGTCTTTTTCCACACATCTTTGGCCACTGTTTTGGAGATTCTGTGGTAACACTGGCTGAGTCTTGGAGAGAGATAAAAGTGCATAGAGCTGCTTTGATTCACTAAACCAGGAAACCACAGATATGGTTATAGAGGCCAAATTGGATCATTTGCATATAATTAATAGACGGAAAGGTTTGAAGTTCACAATTGACTTGCGGCTGTGTTTAATTTGGGAGTTAAACGGTTATTAAAGCCATGGTCGCTAACTTTGAAACTGGGAGAATGTGTGGAATGATCTCAGCAAGGTCCTGGGTTCAATCCTGGTCGGTACAGGGTCTTTCTGAGTAGAGTTTGCATGTTCTTCCTGTGTCTGTGTAGGTTTACTCCGTGTGCTTCGGTTTCTCCTACCACTAAAAACATACAATACAATAATACACCCTGAACTGTACAATAGTTCAGGGTGAATGAGTGTGTGTTTGTGAGAGCAAATGTGGGACAATAGTTGCTAATTATGCTAATGCTACAATCCAAAGAGGTGCGTTCATTAAGATAAGATCAGGTGACAGTAGGTTGGAAGGTCGTGGGTTTGAGCCCACATTGAGACCTACTCCAACTGCTCCCACTGATTTCTACTGTCGTTGTGTCCTTGGGCAAGACACTTAACCCCACATTGCTTTAATGATCTCACACTGGAGAAATGTACATGCACTGTCCCAACCAAATAAATGAATGATTTACTTTCAAATGATCCATCCATCCATTTTCTTCCCCTTTATCCATTTCTGGGTCAGGGGGGTGGCAGTCAGAGCTGCACCCAGTCCACAGAGCACCAGCCCCTCACTGATCCTCCTGCAGGTGGTGAGTCCACAGGAGCTGAGAGCTTTGTGTGGGGGCTTCAGGCAAAGTGGGGTTAAATGTCTTGCTCAACACAACAACAGCAGACAGCAGTGGGAGTCGTGAAGTAGGTCTTGTGGTGGACTCAAACCCACAACCTCCAGGCTCAAAGGACAATGCTCTACCAACTGAGCCACTGTCGCCCACTAATGATTGAGATCTCACATGTAGAGAATGATTTACTTTAAAGTGATGCTTTACTGAATATGTCGGGATCATTTTGAGCAAGTACAAAAATAAATATATGAACACTCCAGCTGTCAGCTCTGTATATATTTTAAACAACGAGGGGTAAACGTCCAAAAACCCGTCTAAAAAGTAAAGTTTTGAATGGCTTCCACCTCTGAGGTTTTCAGTGCACTCAGATAACCTCTGGTCGCCGTGGCCTATTGTTCTGCCGCTGGAAAAAGCCACATTTAGGCAAAACATCCGTGTCTTTGTTCCAGCACACTCCACTCTCCTCTTTCTAGTCAGACAGATAGGGCCTCATCCCACCACCAGGGCGGCGAGATCTCATATCAGCGCTGATTGAAGATGCTTTGAACTGTCAAAGCAGCAGCAACGACGACGATAAGAAACCTCTGCAAATGTCGAACCACTCTCAGATTATGTGTCTGTGTGTTTGGAAAGCGGCACGTTTGATGGACACTATTTGTTTCCATGTCATTGTTTGTGTCCAAAGTGAGGCAGGCGGAATGATATTTCCAAATAGGAATCAGAATCCTTTTAGTGCCATGTGAGTAACAGGAAGTCACAAACTAGGAAATAGCTTTGGCTCTCGGTGCAAACAAGTAAAAGCAGGATAAAAACAAGAAGGCTTAAATAAATACAAATCTACATACATTTCTTCAGTGTTTTTGTGTTGCTTACTATTCATTTTTATTATTTTCCACCAACAGAACATACACACTACACATCCAAGTCCAAGGGATAAAACCAAATGAAAAGATTTTACAAGCAACAAAAATAAAAGGAAAAACACCTACTGTACATTATTACTTCTTACACAGCACTGCTCCAGATCATTGGTGCTAGTGCTCTCGGTAGAGCTTCTGCTCCACGCCACACAAGTTGACAGCCAAAAAATGGTCAGGAGTTTCTCAACTGATTCAGACTAATGTTGGTGTTCTGAGTCCGAATATCACATGCATGTTGCTCTCAGGTCAACTTTTTGAGATACAACCATAGTGTTACGGATTACGTACGTCTACGTTATTATGAATTCTGATTATCAAATTTGATGGAGTAAATAAAAACTGAATGATTTTGGATACATTGACTTTTATTTCTTGAGGAAAACGGAAAAAACGTCAAGGGTTTCTCAGCAGAAATTAGTTTTTAACGCAAAATCAATTAAAACAAATATTTTTCTAGCAAAAAATCCTGACCTGATTGTGCAAAACCACGGTCATTTTCGGACTCAGAGCATCAACGTTAGTCTAATTCAACTGAAAAATCTTGGACTATTTTCAAAAAATATTTTTTTGTTACCCAGTGTTATCCATCTGAGGTACGTCAGGTTGCTGTGTTGGAATCCTCTTTGTTTCTCCAGACCTGTCCCTCTGGAGAAGGCCCTGAGGAAAGCCCTGGACACGCTGGAGCAGGGGTCAGGAACCTATGGCTCAGGAGCAGGACGTGGCCCTTTTGATGCTTGTCTGTGGCTCTCGGGCAATTCTTACTATATGTCTTTTATGCACTGGATATCTTCAGTATGAACATGTTGTATAAAGAATACATACATTACACTACTATTACTATCTTGTGTATATAACATTTATAATTTCGTATGATGTAAATGTAACTCAGGGTTATTTACGCTCAATTTTGATATTCTACTTTTGCTTCTTGTTCACTTCCATCCATCCATCCATTTTCTTCCCCTTAATCCATTTCTGGGTCGGGGGGGTGGCCAGAGATGCCACCCAGTACACAGAGTACCAGCCCCTCACTGATCCTCCTGCAGGTGGTGAGTCCACAGGAGCTCATATAACTCATACAGAAATACATGTTTAAGTAGGAGACGTTTTTGGCTCTCTCATTCCCCCAGATGAGCTGGAGGAAATGTGCATCTCACCTCATTTCACTTTGAACGTTTTTCCCTCCATTTTGAGCTGACCACCTGTGAATAGAAATACATTTGTAACATGAGACCTACTCAACCGACTCCCAATGGTGTCTGCTGTTGTTGTGTCCTTGGGCAAGACACTTAACCCAACTTTGTAACAAGGGTTAGGGTTAGTTAGGCAAGTTATGAAATCAAATAATCCAAGGCTCTCGTGGCTCTTAACCCCACTTTGCCTGAAGTCCCCGCTTAAAGATCAAGGCTCCTGTGGACTCAGCACCTGGAGGAGGATCAGTGAGGGCTAGGACTGCCACCCTCAGACTGACCCCAGAAATGGATTAAGGGGAAGAAAATTGAAGGATGACTCTGAAACAATGCCTTCCGATTTTAACTCTAGATTTTTTTTTTTTTTTGAAGAGCAGTGGGGTCCCCATAGTTTTCCCAAAATAAGCCGTTCTAAAACAGATATGTGTGTATTCTCAGCCTTGTGTGTGTGACATGTGTGTATTCTTAGTTGTGTGTGACATGTGTGTATTCTTAGTCGTGTGTGACATGTGTGTATTCTTAGCTGTGTGTGACATGTGTGTATTCTTAGCCTTGTGTGTGTGACATGTGTGTATTCTTACCCGTGTGTGACGTGTGTGTATTCTTAGTTGTGTGTGACGTGTGTGTATTCTCAGCCGTGTGTGACATGTCTGTATTCTTAGCCGTGTGTGACATGTGTGTATTCTCAGCTGTGTGTGACATGTGTGTATTCTTGGCTGTGTGTGACATGTGTGTATTCTCAGCCGTGTGTGACATGTGTGTATTCTTACCCGTGTGTGACATGTGTGTATTCTTACCCGTGTGTGACATGTGTGTATTCTTAGCCGTGTGTGACATGTGTGTATTCTTAGTCGTGTGTGACATGTGTGTATTCTTAGCCGTGTGTGACATGTGTGTATTCTTAGTCGTGTGTGACATGTGTGTTTTCTTAGTCGTGTGTGCATGTGTGTACTCTTAGTCGTGTGTGACATGTGTGTATTCTCAGCCGTGTGTGACATGTGTGTATTCTTAGTTGTGTATGACATGTGTGTATTCTTAGTTGTGTGTGACATGTGTGTATTCTCAGCCTTGTGTGTGTGACAATGTGTGTATTCTTCGTTGTGTGTGACATGTGTGTATTCTTAGTCGTGTGTGACATGTGTGTATTCTTAGCTGTGTGTGACATGTGTGTATTCATAGCTATGTGTGACATGTGTGTATTCTTACCCGTGTGTGACGTGTGTGTATTCTCAGCCGTGTGTGACATGTCTGTATTCTTAGCCGTGTGTGACATGTGTGTATTCTCAGCTGTGTGTGACATGTGTGTATTCTTGGCTGTGTGTGACATGTGTGTATTCTCAGCCGTGTGTGACATGTGTGTATTCTTACCCGTGTGTGACATGTGTGTATTCTTACCCGTGTGTGACATGTGTGTATTCTTAGCCGTGTGTGACATGTGTGTATTCTTAGTCGTGTGTGACATGTGTGTATTCTTTGCCGTGTGTGACATGTGTGTATTCTTAGTCGTGTGTGACATGTGTGTTTTCTTAGTCGTGTGTGCATGTGTGTACTCTTAGTCGTGTGTGACATGTGTGTATTCTCAGCCGTGTGTGACATGTGTGTATTCTTAGTTGTGTATGACATGTGTGTATTCTTAGTTGTGTGTGACATGTGTGTATTCTCAGCCTTGTGTGTGTGACATGTGTGTATTCTTTGTTGTGTGTGACATGTGT